TTAAGAGCTCTAAACTGAACTGACTGATAAGACGAGAGCTCTAAACTGACACTGAACTGACTGCCAAGCAATCAGTCAGTCAGTCAGTCTCATCAGTTTGGATTGATTGTTAGCAACTCTGCTCTGAGGCGGTGGGGCGACGGCCAGCTTCCTGCTGAGCTGGCCAATGCTATCATGGAAGATGTTGCAAAGTTCGAAGGTCTGCCAATGTGTGACTTACGAACGCAATACTTCACGAAGAAAGCAGTAAATCAAGGTGCTGTGAGCTATTTTCGTGAGGAAATGGACTGTTGAGTTCTACATCGGTGCGTCGCCATCTAGACACCCATCTTCGGTCTCTCTACCCTTCGCCGACTCTAGGATAGCCAACACGTCCTGCTTTTGACCCATACCTTCCATAGCTCCGAAAACGTCAGTCATGGTGCTATCAACTACTTTTTCAATGTCCGCTGGTTCCTGGATACCTACTTCCCTCAATGTACTCGGCAGCCCTAGAGATTTCACAAAATTGGCTACCGCATCCGCAAGGCTGGACTCGTCTCTTTCGAGGACTTTATTCCAGATCTCCAGCACGCTCTGCTGTAAATGTCTTTGCTTCTCTGATTTAGACGCATTGTAGCGTAGGACTGGGGCGAGCATGATGCAGGATGTAACGCCGTGCATAACACCGCACGTACTACCAAGCTGATGCCCAATGGCGTGCGAAAGGCCCATTGGTATGTTCCACAGGATGAGGCCCATCATGGCGTCTCTGGCTCCTACCTGGCAGTTGGCAATACCATCGAGCATTTCAGATCGATTGCTGTCACTCTCGCCATTCATGTAATCCGTCAAGCCTCTGAGTAGTACTGCAAGCGCGTCTTCCATATGGCGGAACACCTCTTTTGTGCATTTGTCGCTGATCATCTACATTGCAGAAGTAGCGTAAGCATGCCTGTGAGCCCGAGGATCATTGATATGGATACATACCGTCTCAACACAGTGATCTACAGCGCGCATTCCGCTCGACAGCCATAATTTCCTTGGTGATGTGGAGGCGACTTCAGGATCGAGAAGGATAAGATTTGGCGCCGCGTGTTCGCTCGAAAAGTGCTGCTTCTTCTTCGATTGAGGGTTCGTTGCTGACGAGTTGCTGTTCCACTCGCTTGCTGACAGACTCGTTGGGATGAGAATGAGTTTGATCGTAGGATCTTTTAGCCCGGCGGCGCTGCCCTTGGTTTGGTCTACCAAGGCCTCCATAGCTTCTACCGTCAGATTGTCTGGAGCGAGATTCGCGTGCATCAAGCGCGCGATCTTGCATGCATCCGAGTAGCTGCTACTTCCTATGCTGATCAAACAGTCCGCCTTTTTCTCACGTAGCAGCCTTGCAATTTCCAGTACATCTTCGTAAGGGGAATGAGCGCCCACCCCAGACTTGGTACCCACAACGAACGACCCCAATTTCTCTTTCAGCCTCTCAACAACATCTGTGTTTTCCCCTAGCGCTTTAGAGTGCACTATAAGCGTGCGCTGACAGCCCCATGTGCCAATTTCATCGGTAATATCGTCCAAATAGTTGGAGTTCAGTATGGCGTTATGTCCTTTCCGAGCCGGGGTGGGAAGCTGCTGAATCGTGCGCTTTTTATGACAATAGGAGAAACATTCGGACATGATGCAGTAATAGATACAGATGTAATCTATTCCTCGTGAAACGAATGGCTTAAGCAATATTATGAAGTTGTTCGGACCGAAGTGCAAACAATTCAGGTTTTCAAAAGGCTGCGTGCTACTCCCTGACGAGCATCTTACCTCATACCTGTTCAACCCCGCCATCATGAGATGCGAACCCCTACCTCTGATACGAGGTTGCTCAGCAAAGAATCAACGCGCGTTCATCTCGCATCGAATGTAGCTTGCGTAGTTTGGCATCATTCGCATGTCTGGATCGGTCATTGTTGTTCGGCCAAAACCAAGTGCTGACCTTCCGAGGCTGGGCTGGTGGCGGCATTCTTATGATCGCAGTCCCCACTATTCTAGAACATGGTCCGCACGATTTGGTCGAATTCGGTATTTGGAGTGCTCGCTTAGGGTAGCAGATGTTCACATAGGACTTTGGCGGCGTACTGTTTGGTAGTGGACGATGAAACGCGTCGTAGAGGAAACCGCGACCACGACACGCTAAAATCCGTTGAGTTTTGTGTGCACCGACTGTAGCATCCCCTCACTCTCCACATTCAAATGGACCCAACCTTCCATCTCTTCTTAACAACCACCATCAATAGGTCTTGCTCGGTACAAGGCTGTACACATCAAGCTGGTCTTCCCCCAATAGTATTTCGCAGTTTACATAGCCCCGCAGCCGTGAGTGCGATTCAGGCTGACCCAACAAATAGACGGTAAAGCGTGAGAGGAGCACAAAACTTTGAGTAGACTGTGATCACCGTTCCAGTATTTTTGTGAGGCTGAATCTGCTCAACGTGGCGAAGGAGATGTTCGGCGAGATAAGGAGCTCTTTTGAGCAGATTATGATGTACTCACCTCTCTACAGGGGCCATAACACAACTGCACTTCCCCGAGAACTTCAAAACCTAAGACACGACCTCCATCGTAGCACCTTTCTGTGAGTCCGAAATTTGAACCTACCGAGTCTCTCATTGTCCGACATCCATCCTCATCTCAGTCAAAACAGCTTTGCCATTGAAAAGCTTCAATCGTCATCACTCCAGCCACAACAACTACCCTTCACCCGTCAATCATTCCTCAGCCATCTCATTTTAGACGAAAGGGGAAATTCGAGCACCGTGTAAAAGAATTCTTGGTTTGGGACGATGTCACCCTTGACTCCCTGGCCACTGTTGGAAAGATGAGACTATAGGGTTTTGCAGACGTGGGTTCGAAAAACCTGGAGAAAGACAGCAATCAAACGATTCGAAAACAAGGGATCCAGTAAGCGCCAGATACCGTCGGAGAGACCACCGAAAGGGTGTGTGTTTTCCAAATACTCGCGGAAGCAAGGTACCCGTCGCGCCAACCTCTCAACGCGTACGGAAGCCACCTACCCCGGCGTTGTATTGCAACACAATCAAGAAAGCAGCAACACCTCATCTCGCCAACACATACAGTTTCCCTTTTGTCTACATATACGCGTCACCTCATCGATAATTTCCGCGGAGCAACGATATAACTTAGTCCACGTTATAGCGCGCGACGCTGTCATAGTCTCGCTTAGCACCCCGCATATATCGAGTGTTGACATCACCCTCTACGACCCGCCATCTCGGACCAAGACCGCCATCGATGCCAAATTCTCCACAGACTGACATCCGGCACGGTCCTGACATGCACCCCAGATGGCACTAATGCGGGCTGGTAGAATATCCGGACGTTGTTAGCCTGTGAAATGCTTGTTTTCAAGGTTTCGCTGCAGGCTCTGTTGCGTTTCACGCTTCGCTAATCTTACTACCGGTAATAGTTGTGTATTGCCGCGAGAGAGGCGTGGAGCAGCTAACGGCACGATTTACCCAGTGGCGCATCGAACATGGAGCTCGTTGAATCCATCGCTGTGGTTGGCATGCGCAGGCGAAGGCGTACTGGCACTGTTGTCGCGGCGGGGGAATGAGCCGTGTTGGCTCGACTGGAGGCGCTCAAGGGACGGGTGTTGTTGGTGGAGGAAGCGAAGAGAGTAGGATGATAGCGTACTGATGTCACTTGGAGACAAGCTCAGGGGCGGGTATTGGGAGGAGGCGTTAGGTGCTGCTTGCAAGTCAGGCAAAGCGTATGTCGATTGTTCAAATGGTATAAAGTCCAAAGGGGTAGCGTCTACGGCCTGCAGTCAAGCACCCGCGCCTACGACATCCTCACTCATCTCAAACACCAATTGCAAAATCTGAAGATGCTGTCCAAGTCTTTCTCCCTTCTCGCTTTTGGCGCCTTGGCCTATGGCCAGGAGCTGGTCCAAGAGGGCGCTCCAGCACCTGTCGTCCTCGCAACCGCAAAGTCTGGTGTCATCCCCGCGACCCCAACAGCTACACCTTTCACGGGCGTCGATACCATCCAGGGTGCCATTGTCTCTCCTCTCCCTCCTGCGCCAGGCTACCTTCCAGGTGAGACGGGAGGGCTCAAGGGTACCGCAGCAGCCTCTTCCAACCAGCCTTCAGCTACGTACCGTGCAACCATGCCTGAGGAGCAATACAACCCCTTCGTTGGCAGCACGGTTTCCGGATCCATCGAGGCTGTCGGTGGCGCCGGTGGTGTGAACTTCACCGTTAACCTATCCGATCTGCCCGATCAAGCCCAGTTCGGTCCCTTCGCCTGGCACATCCACGCTCTCGCCGTCCCTGCTGACGGAAACTGCACCGCAACCATGGGCCACCTAGATCCCACCAATCGCGGCGAGCTCGTCATGTGCGATTCCGCACTGCCAGAGACTTGTCAGGTTGGTGACTTGGCCGGAAAGCACGGCGGCAAGATCATGACGGAGGGAAGCTTCTCAACCAGCTTTGTGGACCCGTACCTCAGTGCTGTAGAGGGTAGTTCAGGATTCTTCGGTGGATTGGCGTTTGTCCTTCACACTGGTAACACCACCAGGATTACTTGTGCGAACTTTGAGCTTGTGTCAGGTGGTAATGGTACTTCTGCTCCTAACGGCACCATGGGTATGCCTAGCCCGACTAGCAGTATGCCAGCCGAGTACACTGGCGCAGCGAGCAAACTCGGTGGAGGTGTCGTTGCGCTCGCGGCCGGTGTCTTTGCTGCGATGATGATATAAAAAGTAGTATAGTTCATTTTATCGAGCTATGACTACGATACTCGTAATGTAATATGACTGAGCCTATAAGCTTGTTTCGCCAGATGTGATTAATCTACTCGTCCATGTTAAATGCCCATCATACTGAAGCTTCGCCAAGCATGCTGTTATTTGTCTTGCTGCCCCATGCCTGATGGAGAGTGCTAGAACACTCATTATCACAATTGTAATGTTTGCATATCCAGTACCTCGGCCCAGTTCCCAGGCCGCGACAACATCCCAGATTCGCACACTTGTTCCACTTTTCTCCATTACCCTTCAAGCCTTTCTTTAGCATCACCATTGCTTCCTCTGCCTTTCGCAAGAAGAGCTCCTCTTTGGTAAACTGACTACAGTTACGACAGACTTGTCTGTCGATCGGGAAAGAACTTATTGATTCGGTGTAGTAGTCATCTCTTTTGAATAAGCGCCCGAGAAATGTCTGTTCTTGCGATGACCTGCCGCATTTGCAAGGTGGATTCCCTTTCATTCGATTTTTTCTTGCGCGAGGATGCCGAACAGTATACGTACGGTAGCAGGATGCGCAGTATGGAATGCAGTTTTCAATGTGACGGGATGCAACCGATTCCAGTACTGGAAAATCCACCTCACAGCTTTCGCAGATTTGATTCGTGCAGCTCCAGCAGTTGGTTTTCTTGTCAGGCTCGCACGTGTACAGCCTGAACATGGCGAGTCGACGAGAGATTTCGTTTGAAGGTAAGACGGCTTGGCGAACTGACTTGGAAACAGTTGATAGGCTGATGACGTCGGTGTAGTGCAGGTGCTCGGTGACCATTACCAGCATATCATACACCCCAAGGAACTGTGCCAGTGGAGTGTGGGTCCCGTAACTATTCCGATACGGCTCTACTAAATCTTTACTCTTTGTGAACCCATTCTTGACTTCCGACAGCATGATTTCCACCTTTTGCCCTGCGCCTATTGCAGTCTTTGCGACGCACCGACGTCCTGATCGCACTGGGGCTTTGAAGCTCAGTGGAAGGCACCGGAAAAAGTAAATTGGGGTGTAGAATATAATCCACCCCACGATTAGTGCTGCCCATCTTACTGGACAAAACAGGCATTTACCAGCCATAGTGGACACCTCTTTCATCAAATCAAGGATGGACTCATTGTCCCTCCTCATCTGTCGAGCAGAAACGAAGGTTGAGATGTAACCAAGAAAAGACAGGAGGGCACAGAAAAAGCTATTGCAGTCAGCGAAGCTCGTCCACATGCTTAGTTTACAACTCACCAACATGCGATCCCAATTTGCATCTCTTTCACAAATTCGACGCACATCTGAGTCGGGCTTGCGACAGTTTCATTCAGCCTTCCAGCAGCAGCAAAAAAGCTCTCATTCGTGCCTGGAGGTCGTCGCAATTCCAGACCTACAGGATCGTGGCAGGCTTTCAACTTCTGGGGCGTGTAGCCAATCTGGTAATGGATAGCCTTTGCTATGAAGACAGTAAAGGCAGTATCGACCATCGTAAGAGGTAAGTTTAGAGGCGGTATAAAAATGATGGAAGGCAACCAAAGGATCATATGCCAGAAAAATAAAATAAACCCCCATTTGTCTACAAGTTCCTCGCCAATGGGAATAGTTGCATCGTAGGTACCATTGTGAAGCTCAACATTGTCGTGGATCAATTGGGAGTGATTGGTTGTCCAGTAGAATACAGACAAGAATATTAATATAAAGCGAATTCCAAAACAAGGCATGAATAGAGCTGTATAGGCATTATCTTTCATGCTGAGAATGGCGAAAACCTGATGTTCGCTGGTGTCGAATGGATGCAGGTGCGAATTTGCAGCTGAGAGGTAGTAAGTTCCAACTATAGCGGTAGTTGAGGGCTACACGGCAGCCAGCAGGAAAGATATGACAACCGTCCGGAGCGAACAATGCCTGGCACACAAGGCTGAGCGGCTGAGACCCTAGAAGAGGTAAACCGCGACTGGCAATTCCAGGCATTACTGTACATCAAACCATAAGAAAGAGGTTTGGCGTGTGAAAGCCTCATACTGTAAAGGCTTGATCGTCGCGAAAAAGAAGCCGCGGTCAGCCATAATGGCATAGCTGAATTGCTGTGCCAAGATCCGGTGAAGAACAATGGAAAGGCTGTGATTCGGCCATCTGCACGCATCTCGTCACGCGTCCTCGTATCTCCCCCCCCTTAGAAGCGACATCGCACAATTTTATTTCCATGAAAGACGCGATGCATCCAGACACGCATCGCAAGAAGAAAATGACGTAGTTGGCACAGTGGGTCCAGGTGCGGTGCAGAGTTCTCAGTTGCTTTGACCGCACGTTGCTCGTCGCGGTGCCGCTGTCATCTTACTAGCAGAGGCTATGAACATAGCAAAGGGGTAGTATGGTTGTCGCGACAAGGTAAGGGTGTCGCGCAAGATGAGCGTTGGGTTGTGGTAGTGATCCCCTGCCGAGGCTAGTAGTGCACGGCTCGATCCGCCGCCGGTGGGTCTCTATTACCATGACAACGGCGGGTGTTTATCGATGACACAACGCTCAATCGCAAGTCCGTGGTCGACCATCTACAGAAGGATTAAGCCTGAATCTTGCGGCCCACACAAGGCTCAAAATATTGCTTACTCCGCACTTTCGGACCTCTTAGCTGCATACAACCCCCCCTCCCGACTTCCCCTACCGACTCCTGCATCTGCCACGCTTGGTCTCAACAACATCTGGACTGCATTGTTAGTCGCAGCATATATTGACACTTGTTGATAAAGCTGTTACTACTATCTTGCAACAGTAATCCCGGAACATCATCAAAATGGAGGCCCTACTCTCTCTCGCATTCGACAACATAGCGTCCAAGGACACGCAGAAGATTCGCAAAGGGTTACGCCAGATCGAGGGCATGCTGGCGCAGATATGTCTCTCCAGTGGAAAGCCAAGAAACTCACCACCAGGCCACCGTCGGAACGCCTCAGCACTCAATCTGGGCGATCAACAACAACCAACGCCGAAGAAGCTGGGACAGTTATCAGACGATCTCGCCTTCAGGGAGTTCTTCAGATTACAGGAGGGCTTTGAATGGAATGGTGAGTGCGAACATACAAGCATATATAGAGTTTGACTAATATCATACAGTTGTCACACGGGTAGCCGATTGTTTGGATCGATTGCTGGGTATGGGAAGCAGTAAGGGTAAGCCTGTGCTAGGGGATACCGAACAATAGCTAACCGTCCACTGTAGATGGCCAAAACGACATCCTCATCCTCTCCTCGTTATCCAACATACAGGGTCTTCTGTTGTTGCACCCACCATCACGCATCATCTTCGGTCGCGAAGTATACATGAACCTCCTCCTCGACTTGCTCGATCCTTACAACTGCCCCGCCATCCAATCGCAAGCCCTCCTCGTCCTCGTCACAGCCCTTCTCGCAACACCACAAAACACCCGAGTGTTTGAACACATGGACGGCCTCCTCACCGTCACAAGCCTCTTCAAGGACGAAGAGACTACACAAAACGTCAAGGTCAAACTGTTAGAGTTTCTGTACTTCTACCTCATGCCTGAGATTCCAGTTTCTGGCCCGCAGCGGAGCCCGAGCAAGCTGACCAATGCTTTCGAGCGGCGGGGAAGCACCGACGATAGTGGAGGTGCGACGAAGAAACATATCCGATCGCAAGAAGAGAAGCAACATATGCTGGGGAGATACCTCAGTAACGTAGACGCTCTTGTCGAGGACCTCCAAGAGAGCGCGCCTTTCAACAGCGTCGCCTGCTGAGAGCCATGCGTACCACAAGTCGTCCCTAGCGATGACTACAACCTATTTCCTTTGTTCTGTCGATCTTGTTTGGCCATATGCTGGTACCACTATACCTTTCCTCTCTCTTGTCCTATTCAGCGAGGCGTCCAGGAAACCCGGGGTTCATTCGTAATCGTGCGTCTCCTGATCATCACAGCGAAACGCTGCTCTCCTTTTGTATTTGGCATCTTTGAGCGTTGAAAAGACTGTTAGCTTCATTGCGCCCCGCAGTCGATACATTCGCTGTACATCATATTTCCCTTAGTTTGCGCGGCATTGTTGCGTCCATTTTGGACCAATGTCCGTCGCAGGAGCGTTGTCGCGCTGGTGGCCACACTTTATCCGGCTGCCGTTATATAAATCAAGAATATCATACTTGACACTGGTGTCTTCATGTGTGGCGTATCTCCAAGTCTTGAGCGGTCCAATGTGATCCATATATGTCATGCTCTAGGCGTAGGTGGTGAGTTTCATCTTTCGTAAGCTTACTCCGGTCTTTGATGTGGTTGGTACGAGGTATGCAAGGCGATAGCGAGCCGAGAAGTGCGTACGGACGATTGGCGCTCGAGGGCGGAAATTTCGATGCGTAGAGTCGGGTATCTATATCCAAGTCGTGTACAAAGGACTTGTTTCATCTCAAGACACGGAATATATTGAGGGACGAACGAATGCGGCGAGGTGTGAAACTGTCTTTGTCTATACCCTACATGGGTCAAGCCACCTGTATGCTACAGCGAAAAGTACGCTGCCCGAGAAAGATGGTCAGTGTTAAGATGATCACCAGACCCTAAGGCCGTAAGCGCATCGGGGTCTCTAATACGCGAAGCTCCGTCCTGACTACTATGAAGCACACCAGGATTAATCTCGACGAGCAGTAAAGATAATGCTCGTACATCTAAAGGAGGCTAGCGCCGGTACTTGGCGGAAGCTAAGCCTGTGGTCGACGGTCGCGTGTTCTTGTGCCACCAACCACGACAATACCAGGCACCGAAACTCCAGCACGCGAGCAGTCGGCGTCAAACTTCGGGCATGACGCGCACATTGCGATGTGAAAGAGTCTTCAGTGTTGGTCGCGTTTTGCAAGTATCAAAGCGCAGAATTGGCTTGGAACCGAGTGCTGTTGTCAGAACTCTGAAATTCTAATGACGTAAATTGCAGCAAATGACATGTAAGCACGCGACACTAACCCAGCAGTCACAACGGAAAGCCGGCTCTTCCTGCATCCAGCACCTTGGAGGTTTACGCCGCACCAAATGCTAGGCAGAGCAGGTTCGTCCGACACCATCCGCCTGCCATGGCTGGTCTGTCTCAGTGGCTGCTGTTTAGTCACCCCTCGCATGCCGTGCGTTCCGCTGACTTCACTACGCGCCATGCATCTTGCCTTTAGTGTAGGATGTAGTCCTCGGCATCGGGCGTCCTTCTTGCCTGTTCCTTATTTTGTTCCTCAAAGTTTGTTGTAGCTAAGCCTTTCTGCTTCTCAGAAAACCCTGGAATTGCTTCTTCCTACCGTCGCACAGAACATACAAGGCACGGCACTGTCTCGCGCCTCGACATTTGCGCAAACATATCCGGATCGATCGGCTGTCATCTTAGTCAAACACCCCGTCATCCCTACAAATACATTCAGCTCCCTCTAGGCAGTCAAGCCTCGAACTTCTGCATCATCTTTTGCGACCTTTGAGAGTCGCGCGCCTGCACCCACCATCCTTGCCTCTCCTCACGCATAGTCGCCAAACATGGGCGCTGGAGCCTTCATAGAACCGCTTGTAGTGGTTACCCTATTGTTCGGCGGCACATGGGTAAACCGAAACACAGAATACCGTCTTTTTGGGCGACGGAGAGTGTATCAAAATTCGCCTCGCTCAAGTTCCCCAGATTCCGGTCGATCTAGTCCGTCTTCTAGCGTGTCGCTTCTAGCCAACGTCGATGAGGAGCCCAAATGGAGGAAACGAGAAGTTGTCATTCTAGGCATAAAGAAAGATGTCATGAGCCCGAATACTAGGCGATTCAAGGAGTACTTCCTTAGTCGACTGTTGCAGAAGTTTCCCTTTCTTGTGGAGGCCTGGTATTGGGCACTCATCTACTGGGTAAGCAGCCTTGCGGAGGCACCATTTGACATGTTTGTACAAATTTATTAACTTTTCGCTTCAATAGGTTTACCAGCTAGGCCGCGCATTCTCTGCCGTAACGATGGTCGAAGGCACCGTAAACGTCGCTCGCCGCCACGCCCTCCAACTTATCCACCTCGAACAGAAGCTACACATCTTCTTCGAGCTTGACGTTCAAGCATGGTTCCTGAAGCATCCCTTTCTCCTCCACTGGACGAACCGCACATACTCCTTCATCCATATTCCTGGTACAATCTTGTTCCTAGTATGGCTGTTCTACTACACCACAACCCGCAACCGCATCGATCTTCCCCTCCATAATAAACCGATGGGCGAGGCAGACGGCAGCCCTGCAGGTCCAAAGTTGTATGCCGCAAGGCGCAGGACAATGGCTACCTGTAATTTGATTGCTTTCATTGTCTTCACACTATGGCCATGCATGCCGCCTCGTCTTCTCTCCGACCCCGAGGTCCCCGGCTCGGTAGGCAAGGAAGCGCGCAGCTTTGGTTTCGTCGACACTGTCCACGGCGCCGAAGGCGAGAGCAGCGTGTGGACCCAGAACAAATTCTGCAACCAGTATGCTGCGATGCCTTCGCTGCACTTTGGATACTCGCTACTCATCGGTCTCACCATCATGTCCATTCCGCTTGCACCCCAGCATCGCCGATCTCGCACCGTTGCTCTCACAATGGGTTTGCGCATGCGCATTCCCTCGGCTCGTCGCATGCTCTGCATCTTCCTGGGTGTCGCATATCCCGCCATCATCCTCGTAGCTATTGTGGCAACGGCGAACCACTTCATTCTTGATGCTGTGGCTGGTGCCATGGTCTGTGGATTGGCGTGGACTGGCAACAGGGTGTTACTGAACTTGCTACCACTAGAAGACTACTTCCTATGGTGCGTGCGCATCCACAAGCCTGCGCGAAAGGCGGTACACTGGGATGGTGATGATGAGGATGATAATGACTATGGCCATAAGAGGTTTGGCGGTAAGGGCGTCATTGTTGATTAGATGGCTGTACGAGGTGGATAGTGTGGAGGTAATGAACAGGTTAATGTTAAGCATTGGGTATCGGCGTCTTACTAGGGTCAGGTATCTTGGTTAATCAGGGCGGTGATATCATCATGGGACTACCTTAATTGTCGAGTTAACGGCCTCGCTGGGATATTCAAATACCCTGAAATAATGATCATAATCTTATCTTATCATCTTGCAGAGCTATTCGGGCGTAGTGCCGTAATCGGAACTTGTAATATTTACCACTCTTTAGTTCGGGTCGTCACCTGGTTTACTCGGTGGTAAGTTCGGTATTGGAGTCCCCTTAAGCTGACTCCTCCACCCCATGATGAACGAACAAACCATATGCTTCGTCCTCGTCTTAATTCCTCCTCCATTACAGTCAAGAGGGTCTGCATTCCACATGCCAGACCTACACTCCCCACACTCCTTCCACGTCTCCTGATCGTTCCAGTCGCACTTGAACGCCGTGTTATCATACGAAAAATGCAGCGTACTGCTTCCATAATCATAAGGTCCAACGAGAAAGTCCGGATACCCATTGACATTGTGCTCGACGACGCTAGTGCCGCCAGAGGATAAAAAGTACGCCCAGACAAAATCGCGGTTGACGTAGACACCGCGGGCAGTGATGGAGTTGTCCGACATGCAATTTTCGATAATCTGGAAGTGGAAGGGGAGGATGATGATGGGTTCGGGGTCGTGGGGGCGGCTGATCTGGGTTACTTTGGCAGCTTTCGGTGTTGTGGGTGTGCCGAGGATGGCGATGGGATCGTTGTCTGTGCCGAATGCTGAAGATGGTTGGACGGATTCGCCTTCGGTTGAGACGAGTAGCATCTCAGAGTTGAAGGTACCATCATAGCCTTCGATGGCGATGATGTGGGTTCCAGGTGAGAGGGGCTGTCCAGGCTGGACGATGGCGGCGGCCATGATGCCAAGGACAAGGGATGCGACGATGAAGAGCTTCATCGTTCAAGGAGCTAGGATGGTGAGTTGAGGTGTGAATGGAGATTGAAATACCCACTATATGATTGTTTGGAAAGGTTGTGAACAAGCGTCGAGCCACTGTTGTCGACTCAATATTACTCCAAGAGATCCTGCTTGAGTGACGATAGATAGGAGAGAGTGGTGTAAATACTTGAGCAGAGGTCGAATGTTCACATAGGGCGATGAACTTATGTGAATGAAGATGCGCACGGACCGTTGACGAAGCAAACGGACATGAGCGTGAATTTGGTAGTGTGTTTGTTGGCACGACATGGCTAGATTAGTCTACGTTACAAGAGAACCACAAGTACAACAGCGCTTACATATGGTGACACTTTGTCGTAACCGCCGGATGAGAATCGTTCCAGCAGCAGTCTTTGTCATTGTCTCATCTCCTAGCTATACATTTCCAACCATTGTCAGTTACAGGCATCCTGCTAGTCATCCTCACCACCGACATCGTGGTTGAGTCCACACGTTTTCCAGTACCATGCCCAAGCCTTTGGCCATCGCTCCTCTCTCAAACTCTTCAGCCAATCCTTAACCTCGAAGCAGTTTTCACCAACGCGAATCACGCCTTTTCGAACACCTCTCCAACCCTTGATAGGACCTCTGATGAATCTATGCGTCTCGATGCAGAGTTTTGCCCAATCTTTGAGCTTCTTGTGGATAAATGACTCATCACTATGGGCTTCGCGAAGACAGGCCCTATGACTTTGAAGGCATGCATCGCAAAGATCAACATTCGCACATTCCAAACATTTCCAGAGAGGCGTTGTCCAATCTGAACCAGATTTCTTGCAGCGATCGCAATAGGCTATGTAGCCTGACAAGTCACCGTGAGTATCGCTATTTTCGTCGTCATAGACGCGCCCGTGGAGTTCGCGATCAAGCACCGAATGCCGCAGCGATAATGCGATCAGTGCATCGCGTTCTAAACTGGGCAATGATGCGAGCAGCATTGCAAGCGCGGTGAGACTTGTCCCGTCGTTGGAAGCGATCCCATCTTTGAGATCATTTACGAGTACTTTGAATGTGTTCTCCATGAAAGGCTGGTACTTTTTGGGCTCAACAACTTTAAGCATCCTAGCGACGAGCGCACCAGCATGACAGCCATGTAGATTTTCGTCACTAAAGTTTGGCATAGTCATGGCTTCGCCTAGTAATGCTTCTTTGCGTGACCAACTTGTAGCGTCCTGGAATTGTGCGAAGATGAGGCCAACGTGCCGATTGCGGATTCTTTCCACCTCACGTTTCATTCCAAACTTTCTGTCCTGAACTTTCGGCTCCCCCAAAGCGAGTATCTTTCGGTGAATTTTCTTTGCTTGCTCCGCGTCGTGTAAATTCTCGAAGTATAGATGAGCGAGACATCCCAGTGCTACTAGGCGTTGATATGGGTCTGGCCATAGTACATTGCGTTTCTTCAATCCGTAGAATGGACGCCAAGGTCGCGATTTCTCGAACTCTGTGAGCCACGTTATCCAAAGATGCACGTCTTCACTTCCCGCCCAATCGCTGATCCGCGTAGCATTCCGTTGAACCGAGGTTGTGATCCTGTTGAACAGTCATCCCAACCAGACTTGTCGTTCCTTCTTTGAAAGACTCTGCATCAATTGCTTTCTTTGCCGACCACTGGGATCCAATTTATCACAGGCGGTGATGAACGCCTCCATCATGTCTTGTTGCGGGAGCGAGGCAGCCAAGCCATATTTTGCTCGGTATAACTTGCATGCTTCGTGAAGCTCTTCCCACTGGTTTAATGGCATCAAACCAGACATGATCTTGCGAGTCAGAAGCTCTCTCCGTTTCTCTTGAATTTCTTGTTTCTCTTGGACTGTAGAAGCAAGTGGATCGAGCCTGTCCAGTATGGCTAGCCCTTCATCCGCCCACTTGAGCATTTGTGTCGATTCAAATGCTCCAACGGTATTTCTATTGAAATATAGCAAGCGTATCAACCGAACTCTTTCCATTCCGGAAGAGTGCATCGACTCTAGACTTCTTCGGAGGTAACTGCTGCTTTCTTTTATGACGTTATTCTTTGCGGTACGGTTCCCTTTGAAGTCGAACTTCCAAAATTGAGCCCAGGCAAGTAGTCCAAGTGCCCTAAGAACATCAGTATTCATATTTCCTGGACTAAAATAATGAACAAGAGACAAGCCGTCCTTCATGGGATCGTCTTCGATTGCACAGTCAAGTACACCAGCCTAACTCTTATTAGTGTGACCTATCAGTTTGCGTAGATAGTACATACAAGTTGGGCGCAGCGCTGCGCAAGCTCATACCCCCTGGGAGATGTATCGTTGGCGTTATGCATCCAGACATTGTAATGCCCTCGTCCAAATGTAAGTAGAATGCTCTCTCGGTCTATGCTCATCGCCCATTCCATAACGTGCGGGGGGAGTAAGCCAGCCGGTAACTCAAGTCCTTGTTGCGTCCAAGCGAGGATGCGTTCATACCATGGGATCGTGGAAGATGTGCGGTCGGGGTAAAATTCAGAGGGCGATATATGTTTCCTAGACAGAACTTGCGCATACGGGTCTACGTTGGCCATCAGCAAATACAAAGCACACACCACCTGGCAAGCCATTGATTCAGAGGATTCCTCTGAATTGAGTTCGCAAAAGTGTTCTTTCCAGTACACGACGGCGTATTCTTGAATGTGTTGCTGCGGTTCTGCTTGGTTTGTTGTCTTTGTAATGATGTCGATACATGCCGAGAACAGCCTCAGATGGGCCTGCGGAGCTGCAATCCGAAGATCCTTCAGATCGGTTGCTGACGCCAACGTTGCGCTTCTGAAGTATCGCCGCAATGGCTGGTCCGCAAAAGCAACATTAGCCGCATTGAACAACTCTACGTCCATCTCATCGTCATCGCTCGACTGATCGTCGTCAAACTCAGTAACATCTTCTTGGCTTGTCGCCTTTGTATCAATGCCCCTAACATGAGATTGTGATAACTCAAGAATACTGTCCACGTTAAGTAAGAACAAGATTTGCCGCTTTTAATGTAGCCCTTACCTAGAACATTTGACGGTGATTTCTTCTTCGATATCGAGTTTGAGGCCTTCATTCGGCTCAGATGCCCTGAACAGGGTTATAACCTCTCCTAGCGTCAGAGGTCGCTTGCAGAAAGCAAGCCAAGCGAAGAGCGTCCTCAGCCCTTCTAACTGCTTCTTCGAACGATATCTTCCACATTCTTCCATCAAGGATGAATATACCTCAGGAAGACCCCTAGGCAGATTCTCCAACTCCTTGTTGACAATACTCTCGCGGCTGATATGAGAAAGCCTACGTAATATGTGCTCCACGTAAAGCATGCTGTCAGCTTGCGAGACAATTTTACGATATATCTTTCGCTTCAGCTGTGTACTGAAGCTCCGCAGTCGTTGCGAAGACTGTAACCGATGCTTGACTACAGATTTCAGACCTGGAGCAATCAAATCTCTTGTCAGATCGATAGTGACTGTCTGAATTCGTGAGTCAGATGGCCAGGCCGCGTCTCGAGTGGAAAGTAGCACGTGAATAGGTGCCTCTGATCGTTGAAGGTCGAGTAAGAATGCTACAAGTTGATCAAGGCCATTTGGAAGCTCGTCCATACCGTCCAGGATTAGAAACAGCCGACGTTTTGATGAAGCGATTTCCGTATATCCGGACGTAAAGAAACGTTTCCATATTGGGACATCAACCAAGTCTGTGGAGGTATCTGCTTCGATAACGCCGCTTGTCTTCCAGTACACCAACCTGTTGACACGGTTCACAAGCTTTTGAACATCCTCTTTTATGTCAGACGCGACTCGCTCAGCGTAGCGATGATTAGCTTCAACCACCTGCAAGGCTGCACATGCTAAGGCTGCCTCTGTTGATTGTGGAAGGTCAAGATCTGGTTGTACGAAGTAATATGCAACATCAGATGGTGGGTTTGTAGATCGCTGCACCAGATCAATTGCCGCCTCCATCGAGAAACTTTTACCCATTCCAGTAGAACCACAGATCTTAAGGCAGGTGACTTGACCATCAAGCCATCGGGTGAAGTTTGGATGCTCTGCAAGCCATGCGACACTATCACCGACACGTTGTCGCTTAATGCGTTCCCTTTCTATTCGATTCGCGTCAAGAACCTTTTCAATTCTCGGAAAGAGGATACTATTTCCGATGAAGAACGTTTTAACAGTATCCAAGGCTTGAGCCTTCTCATTTGCGCTGTCTCTCGGTAGGTCTCCGGAGTGAGACTTCGTATCGGATGATGCAGGCATCGATGCCTTTTCGAATGCATTGAGTAGGTTCTCCTGCATTTGGGCGATGCGTAGTTGTACAGCGTACGCCTCGTCTTGTTTTGCTTGAACACCATCAAATCCTTCTGTGATCTTCTTGTCAAGGCCAAGATTGCTGGCATACAAAGTCTGCAGCTGTTCACCCATTGATTCTCGAACGCGACTGATGTTAGCGTCTAGCTCGTCAATCTTCTCGCTGATTTCCCCTACATCTTCGTGTGTCGCCTTGAGCTCCTCGTAGGCATCGCGAATAGCACTGTAAGTCGCGTAGCCAACAGTCGCACCTAACTCTTCGATAGAAGCTTGCATCTCAGCGTATGCAGCAGCAAGCTCTGGACTTTCGAGGTTCCAGAGTGCATTGAGCCATTGCTTGAAGCGCCCATTGTTTTTCATATCTTGCACGATACCACAAATCACCAATTGAGACGCGAAAGTGCGAACAATAGCTTTGGCTAATGGTCTCGGATCTGTTTTGCCCTCGAGGAGAGTCAGATTGTCAAAAAAGCGGCGTGAATGATCGAAGAAAGCTTCTGCCTGATCGTAGTCCTTTTGGACTCCGGCGAACGCCTGGAACATGTGACCACAAGCAGCAAAGATGATTCCCACAGGCATAGCTGGAGGAAAAGCAGATGCAGCCTCGCCTATCGTCTGTACACCATCAAGGCATTTTTGCATGCCGTCGAGATGGCGTCCGAAGGCTGCTCGCACTTTGTCAAGTTTTCCATTGTCGTGTCGGTAACTCTCGAATCGTTTCTTTTCGACTGCTGTTGTTTGCATCACATCGCTGATGCTTTGGCCCCGCAAGTGAGCCAACTTTTGACCAGTCTTTTGGGTGTATTTATCAACCGCCCTGGTCCAGAGGATGCCCAGATCAGTGGCGTCTTGATTAGCCATGATGAAAATGATTGTGGCTGAGCTACAGGAATTTCTGGATGCTCGTTATCGCCCAGGTAACTGTGGAACTCAGAGTCCAAGTGGGAGAATATGGAGACAAGAAGAGTAGATGTGCAGATACCTCCAGATATTTCAGGTTCATCATCAGGTGTCGCTTTAGCTTGTCAATACTCTAGCTTTGATTGACCACGATCTCCACTGCTAAATGTAGATCTCGTTGGTGTGGCGGCTCCCAATGACCGCGCTAATACGTACCTTTCGCTTAGAGCTGTGCAGTGTGCCTAAACAAGCTGAAACCCATGCTCAGGCAATCTTCAACGTCTTAGCAAGATGGAGGCGATAGTGTGAGATGTGGATCACCAATTCGATCTGGAGACCTATAGAAGCGCCTCGTATGATGGCCTAAGCTCGGTGTTGAGGGATGGCCGGTCGCATTCGTCCTGTCGCCTCGAGTTTGGAGAAGTACGGTTGAGCAGAAACCAACAGCACGATTTGGAAGCCGCAAAGAAGTGCAAAAATGTCGTTTGTGACACTTGGCAACTTGGCTTGGTAGAGAAAAAGAAAGAATGTTCAATAGTGAGCGGGGTAAAACTTCTGCTGTGTTGGCTGGACCTCAGCCGCACCTGCTGCTGATGCTGCTGCAGAGATGCTAAAACCAAAGAACTAAGCACGTAGCCACAAAATAAGGTTATCTCTAATAGCGCTATAGTGTGAGGGCTGGAGGATTAGGTCTAGGTGTCACAGCACTGGCCTCGATAGCTAATCAGAGTGCGATCGCTGAACTTCTCGCACGAACGCAGGGTAGTAGACGTACGTGAATGAAATTGCGCACGGACCGTCGACAAAGCGAACAGACATGTGCGTGAATTAGATAGTATATTTGTTGGCAAGACACGAGCGAGGATTGCCATTAGCACAGAGTGGTGGTTCAAGTAGGCTCTGTCGCGGGGGCTGGGTGTTCCTGTCCCACGGACGAAGGTGACTGAGCTTGAACGACAAACGAAAGGAGAACCTGGGATGCAGGTGATACATGAGAGAAATTACAAAGTATACATAATATTGTTGTGTACAGTCAACAGTACTTAGGGTATAGTGTTAAAGAGAGTACGAGAAACCACCAACGCCGGATACGCAATGCATTATATGCAGACAGCGGCCTAGTAACGGAACATGACGCAATAAAAGTACACAAAGAAACTCATCAGCGTCTGCTACTCCTAGTGTTGTTTCGGCTGGGCCTGTCGTCCCGGTGGGATCGGTGAGTATCTTGTCGTCCGCCCATCTCCTCATCTTGGATACGGCCTCCACCGTAGGCACGCTGAGGATGACGAACGTCATCGTGATCGTCCTCAAAAGTGTTGCGGCGCTCATCAATCTCATCGTCAAAGTCGACATAGACAGAGGCAGGACGCGGCCGCCTTTCTCTCGGTAGCTTGGAATCTCTGTCCACAAGTGACTTTGGCTTGTGGAGCTTGTCCAAGTGCTCTTCGAGTAGACGAACGTTTTTGCCATTGGCTTTGACTGCGGCATCGGCAAGGTCGCCAAGGAAGGGAACAAGACCGATCAGGAAGTCAAAGGCGACGTTGAAAAGCATCATGATGAGGACGGTCATTGGCAGACCGCCGTCGACCTTCATCATGTTGCGAACGAGGTTCAGAGCCAAGGCCGAACCTGCGGCGTCACCCACGGCGGGGACAAGGCCAATGACGGAAGACCAACCAAATCGGATTCCAAACAAGGTGAAGAGGGCGTAGTCCAGCCTGTAGGCGGTCTTGCGGGCTTTGGCTAGGACGTTGGCATCGTTGTCGGAAAGATAATCTGGGATCTGCTTCTTGACTTTCTTCATCTTGTGGGGCTTCCTCTGATCTGGAACCAGCGCATAGTATGGATCCTACAGAAGAGTTAGTGCGAGCTGTAGGAAGCGAGAAGGTGGCTACTAACGTATGGACCAGATACATCCTTGGACTTGTACTTTTCCATCTCCTTGCCCAAGGCTTTCTTCATTGCGTACTTAGCGACAACGCCGGCCATGTTGGGCGGTAGTTTCTGAGGTAATCTGGGTGGTTGAAGTGTGCAGGCTGCTATGAATACAGCTGTGGACGAGACTGCCACAGAAGGCTTATATGTCTCTGGTGTTGAAAGACAGTGCGTGGAGTGCGGGTATCTCACAGCGCGCTTGTTGCGTGGTTGGCGGACGGCGCTTCTGGTTTGAAAATGTGAAACGGGCGCGTCGCTGCCCTATGTATAGCTGGCGAGTGCGACTGGCGACGAGCTCGGTACAAAATATGCAGTGAAGAATGAACTGTGAAGGAGCGGCAGAAGTGAAGAGCAGCAAGCCTACTTATCGCATCATGCGCTGGCGGTGAGTCGCGCGAGACTGCCCTGATTCTGTGACGCGATCCCAGACAGCCAAACGTCATGGCTCTCGCTCTCTCTCCTTCTTTTGCCTGCGAGCACAGCCACAGCCGCCACACTTTGTGTCGATCGCTCCACGACCCTCTCCGATAGGCCTCTGACAACACATCAACAACACGCTCGCCGACCGCCGACTCGACGCCGCATTCTTCGACCTTCTTTGCGGCTGTGCACCCTTTCACTACCGCGCCCATCTTCGCATCTAGAAGCCTCGCTACTACCCGCCGCCCGCCGCCCGCGACTGACGGACTGGTGCCCGAGTGCACATCTCCCCACCCTCTGCGACACGAGCTGTGCGCGGTATGCTCGATACGGGCCAGACATCCATCCACCATGACAAACACAAACCGAACATTAGTTGACTGGCTCGACGACCTCTGCGTGCGCTTCATCGTCAACCTGCCCAATGAAGAACTGCAGTCGGTGGAGCGAATATGCTTCCAGATCGAAGAGGCCCAATGGTTCTACGAAGACTTCATCCGCCCTCTCGACCCCAACAACCTGCCCTCGATGCACCTGCGCAAGTTCTCCCAGCTCATGTTCCAGCACTGCCCCCTCTTCTCCGCCTACTCGGAAGAGCTGCACCAGCAGGCCTACGAGCAGTTCCTCGCCTACAAGACACGGGTCCCGGTGCGCGGCGCCATCATGCTCAACGAGGACATGACCCACGCCGTCCTGGTCAAGGGCTGGAAGAAGGGTGCCAAGTGGAGTTTTCCCCGCGGCAAGATCAACAAGGAAGAGACGGATCTCGATTGCGCCGTTCGCGAAGTCTGGGAGGAGACGGGCTACGACCTGAGGGAGGCTGATCTGGTCGAGCCCGACGAGCACATGAAGAAGATCACCGTCACGATGCGCGAACAGAGTATGATGCTGTACGTCTTCCGCGGCGTACCCATGGACACTTACTTCGAGCCGAGGACGAGGAAGGAAATTTCAAAGATCGACTGGTACAAGCTCACCGATCTGCCCACCCTGAGGCGGAAGAACCAGGTGCAGCAGCAGGGCACCGGAAACGACCTGATCAAGGAGAGCAGCTTTTACATGGTCGCGCCCTTCTTGGGGCCTCTGAAGCAGTGGATAAAGCAGCAGCACAAACTGGGAAGGCAGAGACAGCGTAACAGCGCGCACATGGCTCCAGCACCAGTGGCAGGCACCGACGACGAACATGTCCAACCCAATTTATACGAGACTACGGCCGACGAAGCTGCCCCCGTCGCAGATGCGCAAGTAGCCAACAACTTTGCAGATATGGTGGCCCGATTGGGTCGCGGCCACCGCCCGAGCGACTCCTACCCAGAGCTATCTCAAGCGCACCAGGCGCCACCACCACAGCAGAGTCAGGATCCGGCAGAAGCGCTCAAGCGCCTACTCAGTGTCGGCATGCAGTCGCCGCCAGTGGAAGCCCCTAGCCAGCCGCCCCCTCAAGGAAACCCGCTCCTCGCCCTGTTCAAGCAAGGCAACAACCAACATGCAGGAAATCAACAACCCAGGACGCCCTTTGAGCAGATGATGTCCCCGCCTGTGCAGCCATCGAGTCCACATGGTCAGCACGGCCCTCGGCCTCCGCAAATGGGCAACATGGGGCCGCCGCCGCCCTTCTTCCCACCGCACCAGAATATGCCATTCCGAGGGCATCCAGGGCATATGAACGGCATGCAACCACCACCGCCACACATGTCGCCTCATTTCATGCACCAGCAGCAGCAGCACATGTTTCCACCCCAGCCACCTAACATGCAGCAAGCATTCGACCAACACAACCAGCGGCCACAGTTCCAAGAGATGGGCGACTCACAGTTTGCTGGCGGCAATGGCAGACCAGCGATACCACCAGCCTCCAAATTACCTGCCCCAAATCTAAATGCGCATGCAATGGGATTACTGAACTCATTCAAGAATGACAACCAGCAACCTGCGTTCCCGCCGTCGCCTCAAACTACAATCGCTGTTCCACTACATCGAAGCCAACAAACAACGCCGAGGATACAGCATCCGATGCCTCAACACAGGCCGCACGGTCTCGTATCACCGCAGGCACAATTCGCTCCTAGCCCACCGCAGTTTCAATCACCTCCTATTAGTTCGAGTTTTGAACCCGAACAACCGAAGCCAAGGAACGCCCATCAAGATTCATTATTGAGCATGTTCAAATCCACTCCACCACTGCCAAGTCCGCAGCCCCCGCCTGCAGAGTTGTCTGCACTCCCTACAACACCAGCATACGTCTCCGCGCAACCTGTCGTGAACCCACCCAAACAGCACAATGCGGCTCTCCTTAGCGTATTCCACGCTCCTTCGAGTAAGACAAATATGACGTCGGCTACTGTGAGCGGACCAGTCAATGCCCCGGATTTCGACACCATGAAGAAGAACAGACAGCCGACGAACGGCAGTTCACGCGGACCGTCACCGACTACCAACATGCCCTTCATGCCTCAGCAGATACTCAAACGTACGCCGCAGGCCTCGCCTAAACCTGCGCCGCCAGTGGAAGTATCTGCATCACCGCAAACCGCATTTCAGCCTCAGGTTCTGAAGAGACCTCAACAGCAGATCAAGGTACCAGGTCAGGCAGGTACGTACAAATATACATTCTTGCCTATTTTCTGTGAATATCATACTAATTATCCTACTATAGCTTCAGGAGAGACATCACACAAACAAGGCTTGCTAGACATGTTCAAGAGTGCCTCACCGCAACCTCCACCCGTCCAGCCGGCGGTAATACCATCTCGCTCACCAGTTCCTCCACCCCTATCCGACATGGACCGACGTGAATCTGTACCTGCAGACCAGAAGAACGCTCTGCTCTCCCTCTTCGGTAACAAACCATCGCCATCCCCCAAGCCACAAACGCATAGCCCGGTCCCACCGGCTCGCTCTCCTTTCCCACCTACTCCTAAAACATCAATGTCCGGTGTCATCAGCCCTGTCAGCCCACTGCCTACAAACGGCAGTGTAGGTGCAACCAGCCCAGAAGGCAATGCGAACCGGAGTCGAATCAGCAGCATCGGAGACGGAACAGCGCCCAGCATCGTCATACCACCAACAAGTCGCCCGATGGATGCAGGAGTCAGCCTAACTCAGAATGAAGGTGTCAGTGTAGTTGGTCTGAGTACTCAGCAGAGCCGGGCGGGAAGCACAAGCGAGGGCAAGAGTCCTGTGGATAAGTCTTTCCTCTTGGGCTTTTTGGAAAACGTTGCCAGAGGCGGGCGATAGGCACCGTTTCCAGGTTTCCCCTTCTGCATTGTTTTGGGCGTTTTCGCATGTTAGGTGGAAATGGATATCCTGGTTGGACAGCCATCTGGATGATGCATGATGATCATGGTCATGATTTATCAGCAAGGCATGGATGAAATGAGGTCAAAGGATGTGAGCTTAGTAGAGATGTGTACGCATAGTATAGGACCGAACTGAAAGTCCAATTGAAAATTATTGGCCATGATTGGAACTGGCATCGAGAAGAAACTACTTGATTTGTCCCTTAATTTTCTTTCACGTCTGCCTGAACCATGTTATACTCTTTCCGTCGTTTGCCCCAGTCCAGCCTACTAAGCTGTACGACGCATGTAATATCTCTCCATCTTATTCTTTGGCACGACTCTTGGGATCACTGGGCATGGTCGCACACGGTCTTGGTTCCGCGTTGTTTCCGCATTGCTTCCACAATTCTTTTGTTTTGTTGATTATGCAATTGTCAAACACATGTGAGGCACTTTGTCTACTATGCTAATGTAATCCGCAATTATGCCCCCTAGCCCGTCTTTTCCACCCATTCACAATATGTCACCGTCTCGGGTTCTCGGCCACAGACAGAGTCCGTCGGTTAAAGTGGTTAATCTGCCCTGCTCTTCACACATCGATCGCGAGATGTCATGGACAATCTGCCAAGCCGGAGCTTATATGCTTGTTTTTCAGTGGCTTGTGGGGGATCAATCACATCTGGTCGGAGTATGATCATCGGGATACTTTTGGTCCTCGAGTTTCAGGCGTTTCCTACTGGTAGCTGGGCGCGCGTTGGTTTGGTCTGTGGATGTGCCATGACGAGGCTGGGGAAGGGGGAATGCTGTGCTGTTTCACCCCAACTACCGTCTGGGTGATGCTTTATCCTGTCCTTCAGCCAAACCGTGGTGCCGTGAAGATCGATCTGACGTCACAAACACGCTGAAGCATTGCATGGGGAATGGAGATGGCACAGACCTTTCGGGTAGAAAGGCCAAATTTATGTGGATATTACTAGGTTTGCGAGATGGAACTCTACAGGATATTTGATAGCTGAAGCTTAAAAGCAAGAAATTGCGATATACAAAAAGGGATAGCACTTGGCGGCTTTGGCTGACAAGGTTTGTGCGGATGAGGGTTCGTTTGTTGTCGTTCTTCTTGTCCCCAGGTTTCCAGTTTGTGTGAGCTGTTTGTCCCGCGCTTTTGTGACCCAAACCCTGAGTTCCCCTTTCCCCCCAAATGCCGCGCTCAGAAATGCAAAAACATGCTTGTGCTGGTAAACGGACAACGCTTGACGATGACGGGGTAGTAGCAAGGAAATTTCTCGAAAGAGGAGCTAGCAAATGTTGGTGTCGTGTTGGCTGCACGAGATAGATACAAAAGTGTTGACGACGATGGTGGACCGTAATGCTTATAGCGCGAAATTGTCTCGTCCCCTATCCAGGATCTCAGAAGGTACAGCGCTGCGTGTGCTGAAGCGCACTTCAGTGCCTGGGTGTGCCTTGAAGATAGGAGCCGTAGTCTGTGTATCGTGCCTCTGGTGCTTGATGTCCCTGCCTACCAGACCGCTCTTGCTGCCATTGCGGCTCAAGCCTGCAGCACTGGGTTGTCTAGTTATGCCGCTCGCGTTCTTGGGCACGCCGGATGGTAGTGCGGGCATTTCAGGCACCTCATCATCGGAGTAAGTGGTTGACTGCGTCATGCGGAACTGCTGCTTGAGGCGTTGTTCTTCGACGCGGTTGGATTGCTGGTTCACCCAAGAGTCTACTGTGCGGAAACGTGGAACGGAAGAGCGGGATGTCATGAAGCTATCACGACCAAGTGGCTGAGTGGCAGTGTCGCGAGAGGGATCATGTGGGGTTTGAGGGGCCTGCGAGTTTGTCCAGCTGAACCTACTTGCAAAACCACCTCCTGCAGCAGCCGCAGAAGCACCACCGAAACCGGGTCGTTGAGATATGGAAGGTCTGTTCGAGAGGAACTGGCGGAATGTTGGAGGAGGCGGGAGGTTTCTGGATTGCTCCTGCGAAGGGTCGGGGAAACGCAACGATTCCTCGTCACCGTCCATTGATCTTGTGTTGCGAGTTGACGCACTTCGTCGTTGCCCCTCTATGGGCAGAACAGGTGATGATGGTGTTGCGCTATCATTGCGACGATGTGAGTTCGAAATTGATGGTGTGTCATCGTAGAAGCTCTGGGTTCCATCCCTAGTCGGAGGCTGATTGAAGCTGTCACTCCGCCCGAGAGGTTGAAGCCGTTTCTGCGAAGAGAGTGAAGAAGATCGCTTTGGCGCAACCGTGGGTTGAGGGGCATTGAACGAGTCGTTCATGCCATATGTGTATTCATCGTCAAAGTTCTTCTTGTCCAGGCCGTATCTCGATTGCGGTGGTGGTGGGGATCCGCGGCGAAGTTGCTGTTTGCCCTGTTGAAGTACGTCCTTGAAAGTAAGACCTCGCTTGCGCATGGTGTACATGGCAAGAACTACCATGACGATGATGATAGTCGCACCTAAAGCATGTCAGCATACATTCCAACACAGGCAATCGGTTCATCCTACCAATGGAGCCGGCAGCAATGAGCAAATGCTCAGTCGTTTGGGAGATAGGGCGATCATGATGAGGTCTAGGCGGTGGGGGTGGCATAGCGATCACGATGGTCTCGGTAGGGTCATTGTCGGCGAGGGCAGGTGTGGCTTGTGGCTCGTCACCGAGAGTCATGGTAATCAGAAGCTGTTTGCATTAGTCAAATCCCCTGAATCGGCACGCCTTCCTTACAGCTGGAGTTCCTGTCGGTATCGTAAGAGATGCTGTTGTCATAGCTGTCATGTTCGGCTTCTCAGGGTAGTCGTCTTCATCAGAATCGCTGTCGTAGTCTGCGTCTGTAGGACTTGGCTCGTCGCGTTTTGCGTTCACAGTGGCCGTAGGCTCTTCTCCCGCCAATCCCCTCTCATACTGGACACCGTCCCTTTCCACTACAACACATTCCACCTTTTCATACACCCCGCGGCGCCATGGGGCGGGCATTGCTTCCGGTATGCGATGGCGTCAAATGGGGAAAGCCCCTCTCAGTCTTCCAGCCGTTCAATTTCTCCACCAGACATAATCCACACACTCGTCCAGCGATGTAAGGTTGTCGTGACCGAAGGTGATGTTGTGATCGGAAGTGTGTTAGACCGCGACCAGCGAAGTCGATAAGAAAGGGTGGAGTAGCGAATGTATGTAAGTGATTAGCAACGACAAGCCCGCCTGCGGAACGAAGGACAGAATAGAAAGCAAAGTCAGCAAAGGTGCAACGAAAGGCTGGGCGAACGCTCAAGACGAGACACGTTCATGCGAATAGCGGGAGGGGTGGCCTTTGAGAAGTGCATGAATTACACTAGTGGTGAGTCGCTGCTGGTACCATGTCAGTTTGGGGTGACGCGAAGGTACGGGTACTACGCTATGATAATAACAGAGCGTTTAGCAGCAATTGCGATGCCGAGGACGCTCCAAATGGCGAGATTTCATAATCCTGGGCGCGCTTAATTGCCCTCAATAGGGCAAGATGTGCCTTGATTGAGAAGAAAATGGTCGTGCAAGGTTTGGGGGGTTGTCTTAAAGTTGTCTCAGAGCGCCATGGTCACGTTTCAGCTCCCGTTTCCGAGGACGATCACACGCCACAGGGGTTTGTCGTGAGACTATCGACAGACTACAGTTATTGGATGTCTAGAGCGCAATTGTGATGGTTAGCAGATATTAATTCCTTCAATAATTCCCCGCATATGACCGGCAGCCCGACTGGGATTCGGCGGAAATGCGCAGGACAGCCTTGCGGTCGTACAGCCGGCAGATGACGACAAGCCACACGCTCTCCGAGGAACGCAGAGACTGCTGCGCCTCGGATGGCGTGGTCGACTTTTGGGCTCCACTGGGTACCTTTTTTCGGTAGCGCGACGTGATGCGGCGGTGCTTCTGGCCAGGCTTCTCGCAGATATCCGGCCGAGGCCAATTTCCTGGAAGAACAGAGGCACACAATGTTTCGCACAAAGGTTTGCTGGGGGGCGGAAGAGAGTGTTTCCTGAGGCTAGGCAAGCCTTCGCGGTGATCGCTCTCTAGGATGTTACAAAACAAATGAAAGACGACTGACACTACATCGAGATGCGCGACACGTGAGATGTAGTGTTCCTGAGTACTAGAAAAAATGACATTGCGCGGAGGAGCCCACGGATGATGCGGCGTTGAGGCGTGGACGGTTCGCTCCCGCCGAACTGGCCGTGGCTGCCGGACGAACTTGGCCTCTGGGTGGCTGAGGCTGAGCGAGTGTAACCGGATATCGCTGGATGTGCTCCGCCCCAAAGATTCGGTGGATTCGTTCAGTCATCAGATCTTGTAGTCAGCAGATGGTGTTGTGCGCTGCGGCAAGTAAGTCAGTAGTATAAGATTGTGATGTTCCTGTCGTGACGCTCTTGCTTTCATTCACGACATTATTACTCTCGTATTCCCGTATCCGCCCCCAACCTTACGTCAACCACCCCTCATTACCCGACCCCTCATCAGCTCAATAACACCAACTACTCTTGCAACCTACAAACCTCACACAATCATCATGTCCGGCCCTTACGACCAGTACAACCAAGGCTACCAGCAATACCCGCCTCAAGGCCAATACCCTCCCCAACAGCAAGGATGGGAACAGGGCGGCTACCAGCAGCAGGGCTACCCACCTCAGCAACAAGGCCAGGGCTACTACGACCAGCAGCAGCAGGGCTACCAACAGCAGGGCTATAACCAGCAGTACGGTGCCCCGGCTCACGGTGGATTCCAGCATGGACAACAAGTAGCGCCATATGACCAGCAACAGCAGGGGTAAAATGCAACCTTTCAATTATATTACTTCATGTACTAACGGCAATAGATACGGCCAGCAACAGCAGTACCCTCCACAAGGCCAATACCCAGGCCAGGCCCCAGCGCAGCAGTTCCCGCAACAGGGCGCATACGCTCAAGACCAGTACCCGCAAG